CGACCTGTATATTTTCCCGCATCTCGTGCAAAGTTGTCCACTGGCGATCTATTTAAGTTTTCTTTCCGTCTTCTGCGCCTGTCTTCAATAAGGTCTTTCCTTTGAATCTCAAATGTTTGTTTGGCGACTTACATGTGTAGATAAAGACTGTCTCTTTGGTTGTGACCAGTCTCGAGACCGTTTGATCGTCTTAAGAGCTGAGCCGAAGGCTCTTCGAGCTCTAAGCTTGAAAAAAAACCTGTTTGAGCGTCAAACAGTAAAAAAAAACAACAACCTGTGTGAACACACAGTTCTGTCTGGAAGAGACCCATGTCAATGCCTATACAAAGCATTGCTATTTCCGATGCATCTGGCCCCCAACGCATGGGCTAAATACGGCCGAAGGCCGAGTGCACCAGGAACCTCCGCCATTTTCCTATGACGTACCAAGCTAGCCATGGGGGAACTCGCCATTAATGTAACGGTCCTTGAGGAATGGCGCATGGAATATCGACTGGACCATGAGAGCTCTATCTCAACCCGTGCAATAGGTAAGCTCTCGCCTACCCTTGGACACTTTCACTGGGGGTTTTGTTTCGCCATTCATTTAGCCTAACCACTTCCTCTAAAGGTCGTTTCCACCCGGGTGCCACGATGAGGCAGAACAGCGTACCCGGGAGTCTCGAGACCAAGCGTTACAGAAGGCCTCAACACTGACTTGTGACGTCGCAACCTGTGGGCAGTTTAGACCAATTTGATGCCGTCATCCTCTGTTGTTCCTCCTGTTTGTCTGCGTGACTTGAAAATAATATGTAGGTCTCATCTGGGGATTCGTCACGTGAAATACTGAATTCATCCTTAATCCTCGGACTCAAAAGACAAGGTAGTGATTTACGATTTAGTTATAATAAAGATCACCATGACATGAATCCAACAAGTGCCTGTAACCTAGCAACTACATGTGTAAGAATGCCAACTATATGCGTAAGAGTACCAACTACATGTGTCAAGAATGCCACCTATGTAAGAAATAGTATTATAGTACTAACTACATGTTAGCATGCCAACTATTTGTGTAATTGTACCAACTATATGTGTAATATTGTACCAACTGGGTCAACATATGTTAGAGTCAACTACTCACTATTATAATTTGAATCCGCGGCTTCTAAACTCGGCGTGTGACCTTTCAGACAAATGTGTGTTCAGACTTCAATTATAGAAGTTAAACACACCATGTGTGTTTGTGTATGAGTGCTTTGTTTTATCGTGTGTAATGTGTATCTAACTTGTAATACAAAAAAAACATCTGTCTTAGTTTTTAGTTTATAAAATAAAATTGTCCTTCTTAGGTTTAAAAAGTTAAACTAGATATTGATAGTTTCGTGGTAGGACAAAAGGCTTCTACAGAGATACATAAACAGATAGTCACATCCGGACTCATTGAAAAGTCAATGCGGTGTTTATTGTTTGCTATTGTTTGATAAGTTTAGTTTTTTGTTAGTCTTTTCTTTTTAAAGTGTATTCCTAAACTGTGTACAGCCAAGTGTACAGTGTACAGTCTATCTTCAGACAAGGAAACTCGTGAGAAGCTGTTTTGTTATTCCGAAATTGTTTTTATTTGTGTCCTATCCTAAGTAATATTTTTTTAAACACCTGAACTAGTCTATCTATCTATTATTCTATCTATCTATCTATCTATCTATCTATCTATCTATCTATCTATCTATCTATCTATCTATCTATCTATCTATCTGTCTGTGTCTGTCTATCTGTCTGTCTGTCAGTGGTCGAAGGGATAAAAAAGCGAGATAGAGAGTTACAGTGATATAAATTAGAAAAAGGATTCGGCAAACGAAGAGAGAAAGAAAATGAAATTGGCAAGAAAAAGAGAATCCGAGACATATAATTGTTTAAATTATTTCACTCTTCTGTGTTTACTTAACTGCTATCTTGTATTCCAAGCTTTCTAACTTTACAGGCAACGCACGGATTCTGGTCCTATCTCCCTCCCCCACCTGTGATGTGATATTTTATGGCCGCCACTCGGCGTGACCCAATCGATACTGCCTTTTTATGATTTGGTGACCAACACTCTCTCTCTCTCACACACACAAACTTTCTCACTCTCTCACTCACAATATACGTATGTGAAATCTACCTTTAACTTTTGTCTATTTGACAGCTGACCAGCTGGTGTCGTTGTGTTGTTGTATTCCTCCTAATTGTTGACATAGTGCACAGGCTTTAACTATTTCCTAATTTGATCATCCAGGAAATCGTATTTTGATTGTCATGGCAATTTGTGCTGGTATTTCACGGACTTGGTGCCTAGTGATGACAGTGGTAAGCCTTAGTCTACTGCACTCTTCGCCATGCTTACACTGACTGAATAATTGCGTTTTAAAAAATATTTTGTAAAGGTGTTACCAACGATTATTATTTCTATTTTATTTTTTGTACATTTAGTCATTTTTAGCGGCCCCCGAAAGGGGAAAAGACGCTATTTGTTTTGTGTGGAATGTCTGTCCGTCCGTCCGTCCCGTTTAGATCTCGTAAACTAGAAAAGATAGAGAAAATCCGACATCTTAATATTTTAGACCATTAAAGTTCTGATGCAACAATAAATTAAACGCTTTTTAAAAAATGAACTTAGTGGGAGTAGGGGGGCGGGGCCGGGTAAGTTTGGAATAATAATATAGATGTTGTCATCTGTTAATTAAGAAAATTAGATATTTTTCTTTGTTTCACAGATTTGAAAATGATTACGCAGAAGCCCAAATCTCGTGCAGGATGACGATAGCAGCGGGTAGAGTTAAAACCCGGGACCATTGGGACGATAGTCCAGAGCGCAAACCACACGAACAGGCAGAAGTTGTAATTATAGGCTATTAGTTGCATTCTTAGTCATATTGCTAGATCTGTCCTTGCATTTTTTTTTGTTTGCTTGTCTGTATTGACTATTTCTTTCTATAGCTGATGATTATAGTGAAAACAAAATTTGCTTGCAATTTATTCCACATGAAACGTAAGAGGACAAAATATGTCTTGAAATGTTTTATAGGCCAGTATGTTTTAGACTTACCAATTGAAAATTACATGAAAAATACCACAATCCCCTATCTATTCCTAAATTCTTTGGCAGATATTTTAGCCCACAAAATCTAGATTTATGTTAACAATATTAACTAAACCTAACTAATGACATGTACTGAATGAAAAGAAATGTTTTTAATTATATGCATATTTTCAACAACAACAAAAAGTTAACCACTGAAATTCAATCTTAAAAATTCAAACGTTTGGTCGCATCTATTCTCTTTATATGTTAATAAGAAATAAATCTTTGCACTTACATGATAAAATATTATTTAGAAATAATAAAATGATCAGTGATCAAGAACGAACACTCTTACACTAATGTGATGCAAAGACATTATAGGCCTACTCCTGGGAAGTTCATTTTGTTATATATTTAGAATTGGGCGTTACATAAAGTCTGAAACCGAAGTGAAAAGTAATGAACAATCGCTCAATAATGTGAACCGTGAGGAACAATCGCTTTGTCTTTTCGGGGAGCAATTAAATTGTCTTTTGTGTTCTTGCGATTTGATATAAATAATGGAAAAAAACCCATGCAAAATATAAAAAAAGAATTCTGTTTAACAAAGCTTATATAAAGGCTAGCCAGGAAAACCAGTGACTTGGCAGAATTTAAGTCATTGATTAATATGCATAACTAAATGCATGACGCGTAGGACGTAATCTTTTAAGTCATTGATTAATATGCATGACTAAATGCATGACGCGTAGGACATAATCATCTTCTTTTTCGAAGTAATATCTGTATTATATTAGATAAGAGGGGGCATTACTGCAATATCACTCAATACTGCAAGATTTATCTACCTGCTTCTATATAAAACAAAATTGATTGATTACCATAAATTAATTAACTGATAGGTTAATGTCCGAATTAATTGTTGTCATCGACATTAAATTATTTTTCTTCTCCAGGTAGTACTTGTGATCTCCGACTCTGAAATCTTTAGACAGAAACGCAATAAGCTCGTAGAAGGCCTTGAAGAGCTTTCCAGACAGACAAGAGTTAATGCCGGAACTGAGCTGTTTAGACAGAAAAGAATTGATCCCAATACTGAGCTCTTCAGACAGAAAAGGACAGACACGGAAAGTGGGCCAGATTTATCCAGACAGGAACGATTAGAGGACAAAAGCGAGTCAAATCTAGCTAGAGAGAAAAGATCAGAAGATGAGTTGATTCCACCTAGCAATAAGAACAAAAAGAACACTGAAAAACGGTCAGGATTTCTACGAGGTTTAAGCGATCAAGAAGTCTTCAGACAAAAGAGAGACGAAAGTGACAAACTGCTCTCCAGACAAACAAGGTTAGAAAATTTTAAGATTGAAGAAGGCGAAGGTTTATGAAGTCAAAAGTGAAATTGATATAAGAGACTTCTTCTATGGTTACGCACACATGCCATAGAAAATTTAGCGTCTAAAGTTCTTCGACTCTACTCATCTATTCAGAAACATGAATGTGCTTTGAACAAAAAGATCAGTACATTTAGATAGGTTCTAGGTTAATAATCATTATAAATATAATGACTCTAGTAGGACTAAGTAGTAACGATTAACATTATTTAAATTTTAATATGTTTAAAAAATTTCCTATTACTGTACTAATTATATATATGTCTGTGGTAGATCTAGATGTTGTAATGTAAATCAAGTCAATAATTAAATTTTTAAAAATGTTCTTTTCTCTCTCCTTGTAAATATCTTTTTTGTCTTTTACTTCATTGTCAAATTTTTGGAAATAAAAAGAAATAATCTTAAGCAAAACATTATTGACCCAATTCCTTAAGTAATGTCTGTAATCTTTAAGAAAAGATAAATAGAAATATTATTTAAATGTTTTAAAAAGATATAAAACACTTTCAAATAAGCCTGAATATTTTTTAGAAATTAGGCCTAGAGCCTAAGCCTATATTATTTTTATTTATCAAAAAGTTTTTTTTTTTTTTTTTTTTTTCTGGCACTTTGCCATGTCTTTTATATAAACTTTGTTTTTAGTATTTGTATGGTCTGCTTTTAATGTTTGGTCTTGTTAAGCTTTTACATTTTTCTATGTTTTTAAATCAACTTTATGATGTGGGGTTATTTAAAGCCTAACATAAATAGAATAAATTATGACTCTGAAAAACATTACAAAGCAATTTTGGTTTATGCTTTTTTTTTTCTTGAACATATAAACAGTTGTAACTGGATTATATTTCAACTAACTAATAGACTCCATTAGTCAAACTATGTTCATAACATAAACAATAATACTTATTTATTTATATTTTGCAAGTTGCAAAAAAAAAGCCATTTAATCAGTCTTCCATTACCCAAATTAATCTTAAACATATAATACAAATGGCAACATTACGTGATGACAATCTGTCTTGACAAATTCTGTAGTGTTTCAATATGTCCTGCTTATTTTTCATAAACAAATTTGATCATAAAGCTCTTAATTAAAATCTAGTTTTCAGCTCCCTGGACGAATGTGTTGTCTATTTCAAACAAATGCATGCACAAAAAAGGTTAGGTAGCCACTCATCCCTTTAAAAAAGAAATCCTACCAGCCACACCAAAACAAAAAAATCCAAAAACCTCTAGATCAAAGATACCCAATATTTTTTTTATCTTGGCCATATACAGCTCATACAGGAGAGGCATGGTCCAAATCACCCCTGAAATCATCAAGTCCAACTGGCCCTTCACTGTTTCATGAACAGTCTTGACAGTCTTAAAATGTGCATCAAGTTTCTTAAGTTTAATGTTAGGATCTAGAATAAAGACACAGAAGCACTTAAACAAATTCTGATATTGTTACTAAATATTTATTGAATGGATTTCATTCATAACATGTTTATTTTTTTTTAAAAGCACCAAGCAAAGAAAAATAAACAAAAGACAAAAAAAATTTATCCTTTGACATTTAATGCAAAAAATATAAATAAATAACATTGAAAAATATCAGCAACTGTCAGTAAATAGCTTATGTATTACATTTCATGACAAAAAACATAGTGACACTATTTAGTTTTAGTTTTATTGTAACTTAGCTAACCAATAAACTTTGGCATACAGTTGAAACATTTGTTTTTGTAGGCTAATTGACTAAAATGTTTTCTTGATTTAAATTTTGTAGACACAATTTTTAATAGTTTAGAAAATCTTTATACAAGTAGAACAAAAAAACAAACTCTAAGCTACTACAAAGTCCGAGACTGACTATCTGGCTGTGTCTGGTTCATAATTTGCATTCCAGTAACAGAATAATGGACATGTATACATAGGTCAAAATAAAATTTCACGATTGAACAAATATTTATCTCAATGTATAAGAAAACAGAATATTTCAATATCATATAATACAAAAGTCATTGAACATATTTTAGCACAAGAAAAAAATTACATTTTAAGTCATACATTTCAAAATATTATTGATGATATAATATGAGCAATACAATATTTCATTCACAAGGTGAAAAATCTATCATTATTATACATATGAGAGACAATGGAAATCTACCTCTGAAGATAAGTGCAGTAGAAAGGGAAGTGTTATAAACCTAACCCTCCTGACAGACATCTGCTTTTTCAGTGTTAGAGGTGACAAAATTTGTAGTCATAGCAAGGTGTTCATAGCCATGTGAAATACTGCACTTTTCTTAAATCTCATTTCAAAAGCAATGTATTATATATGTATCATCATCAGTTAATACACAAAAAACAATCATTCAGTTTTTATCATTGAAAAACAATGATCTCATTAAGTTTGGTATCTAAAAAAAAAAATAGTCACAAACAAACATTGATATTTGTTCTGCAATGTCACATGATCAGATCTATACACAATCAGACCACAGGTTTTTAAAACAAGTCAAAAACATGAACAAAGGCATCAACTCTAAGGTTGTGATTGAATTTGTTTTTAAATCCCTTTACGGTAGTCTACCATAGACAGCAGTTCTCTACTTGCTTGTTTTCACAGGGTAGAACTCTATTAGCCACAGCTGGGACCCATAGCATAGAACTTATAGAGAAGGTGTCATCAACATCATTATTTAAGTTTGGGATCTAACTGGGGCCCAGTGCTTAGAACATATGGAGTGTCATCAACATCAATATTTAAGTTTGGGATCTAACTGGGGCCCAGTGCATAGAACATATGGAGTGTCATCAACACTATTGTTTTTAAATCCTCAAAAACATTTTTTCCTTTGTCACTGACAGCAAGATACATTAAGAATAATAATTTCTTTGTAAAATACCAGAACAACAACATAATAGCATTGGTATTGTTAGAAAATATGTCTCTTTGTAAAACAGTAGTACTCTATTACCATTCAAAAATTAATGAACTGTTGATAATCTTCCACCATTTATCATTTTTATCACTATTATTTTTATTATATAAGTAGTAACTATTTCTCCTTGCTTCCCATAAGACAAGAGTTAAATACCCTGGCAATGCTTCCCAGCCTCATTATGGCACTTGGATGGAAGAGGTCATTAAAGGAGATGATTAGACCAACAGGAAATACAAGCCGCCATCAGTAATAGGGATGTCAAAAAAATTACATCTGTGTAGATCCTTCCCAGACGGAACATTTTTTTTTAAAGACAGGTTGATGGAGGCGAGCTTTTGTGGGCCCTGAGTTCCAAAAACACTAAACTTTTAGGACAATTATAAAGAATTGAATACACATGAATGATAGTAAAACTCAAGTTATGTTTATATTTCAATTATTACATTTAGGGGGTATCAGAAGGCCAAAAGTGCAGTTTTGATTTACAATAGTTATAACATAACTTTACAAAAAAACTTTTTAAAAAATTTTAGAGCAATGAATATTGTTTTGAACTATTCTTCTGACATACTAAACTAAAATAATGTTACCAGAAAGAAAAAATAATCAGAGTTTTCAAGGAACATTTTAAACAAAATAACAATCAATCATTCTGTTTTACAGACTGAAAAGGCTATACATTTAGTCAATATTTATAACATTTTAATTCATTCGACAAAAAAAGAATGTAATGCATTGGACAAAAAAAAAATAATAATCTCTATAAAAATAAATATTTTGTATGTAAAGTTTCATCCTTCAATAGCAGCACAGTAACTAATGGGATTTAGTATGAATACTTAGAACACTGATAATGATGTCAACACAACAGGAGGTCAAAGTCATCACATGTTCTTCTAGAAAAAAAATGTACACAACGCAGACCACAATAAAACAACTGTAATATAGTTGTTCTTTGTCCAAAGTGAAATCTAGGAAATGGTGTAACACTATATGCATAATAAGTGTGTAAAAACCACGCAGGAGTACCTCTATTGTTGACTATTCCTTAGAATATATCTTCAGGAGTACCTCTATTGTTGACTATTCCTTAAAATATATCTTTTGATGAAAGCTATACTGTTCATTCTGACTTGTGTAGGTATTCCTATGAGATAGTAAATTGATAACTAGGTCATGACTAGACAATAGACAGTGAATATTTAAACGAACAACTTTTTTTTCTGCTATGCACTTCACAGAATAAAAAAATATGCTAGATCTGGATAGAGTATAGAATGTTTTTTTCATAACAAGAGTAACTTTTATCTTCAATGAACATGTAATACCATTTAGAGTAGTTCTTATCTTATCAATTATTATTATAAGAGAACTTAAATGTCATACATGTAATAAGTGTTAATTTAGTCATACATGATAATTAGAGACTTAAAATCTGCTAATTAATAGTGAACACTTTTCTATAGTCTAACTTAAACATGAAAAATTAAATAGCTGCTTCTGTTTTGTGTAGATTCCATAAATATAGAAAGCTGATAAATTTTCCCATTTGTGTCATGTATGCTATAATTTAAATTTATTAATCTACTGTGCTAAATTATTATCTCAAAAAATTATATAAAAATGTCCAGACGTAGTCTTTATTTAGCTGCTAGGGGTTGATTTATTATTATATGCTCTAGTTTAAAAAAATTCCTTTTAGCTAAAATTGAGATTATGTTGAAACACTAACTTTAATTGACACAAAAGGATGTTTTGAAAGTGAGATCTTGTTTAAATTGAAATTTTCGAGCCAACAATCTTTAAATGCGACTTAAACTTGAAAGTTGGCATTATACATGTGACCTTTCCTGTAGGTCTAATATCAGTTTGAACATGACATGGTTCAATGGGACTTTTGATGCACATTAAAGGTTTGAATGTGACATTAAAAGTATATTAACATCAGTTCAAATGTAATAACTATTAATGTAACATCACATCAAGACAGTTTATGATGCTGTGTCAGCACCAAAGAACTGGCCAAGAAAGTTTTCTTTTGGATTTATTATAAAGAAAGACTTTGACATTATCTTACAGGATTTAAAGGAGACTAACATTTAGAAATGTGTTAGTTCATCCTGAAATTCTGACATTGAGTCATTGGGAATAGACTCCCGTTTGGTATCAACAGAATAATCCATGCTTTCTCTTCGGTCTTTCTTACTGCCTAAGGGAAAGTTGGCACCATGGCTGGTGTTGCCAACTTTGTCGGATTTGGTTCCATTTAAGTTTGCATGCCAACTACTGGTTGTATGAAGCTGATGTGGGTGCGGATGACATCCATTGCCACTTTTTATAGCTAAGCTCATTTTTGTGCTCATCTGACCACTGAATCCACTTCCATTGCTATTGCTTTGAAACCTGTTGTCAACTGCTTTGGATGTGTAGTCTGAATTGCTTGATTTGTATGGGCCACGCCTTCGCTTGAGTGTCCCTGTCTTGAAAAGCTGTATCCATGCCAGTTTGGCCTCTGGGTTGAACAGGCAGCGAAAGACAAAGATCAGGAAGCCCTGCAAAGAATTGCAGATGCAGAAGATGTAGCTGAAAACCAGTTTAGCTTCATTGATGGCCAGGGGCCCAAACACCCACGTGATTCCCAGCAGAAACATCACTGTAAAGGCTCCTCTTATTTGTGCTGGTGTGATGGTGACAGTCTCAGTGGTCAACTGCTGCTGTGGAGAGGTCAAAAGTGAAATTCACCGAACATAATAAGAGACACACTCATCCAGTTTTAAACTAGTGCTTTTTTGTTTACATGTTTCAGATGTTTCTTTAGAATAAAAAACTATATTACACCCCCAACCCAAAACTTCCGTAGGACAG